CCGCGCCGCGTCCGCCGCGTCCGCCGCCGCGGGCCCGGGCGCCCTGGCCTCCGAGGAGGGCCTGCCGGCCTCGGGCCGCCCCTGGCCGCCGGGTGCCTCCTCGAGCCTCGGCCGGGCGGCCCTCTGCGGGCTCGCCGAGCGCTCCCTCTGCTCCCCGAGGCGCTGCTTCTTCTGGCCGCCGGCTGAAAGCTCCTTTGGTTTCCTAACGTCGTGTTCCCTTTTGATATCCCAAGTTGGGTCTGGGCCTATCTGGTGGGAAGGGTCGGAGGGTGGGGCTGGATGTGATGGAGAGAATGGAGAGAGGACGTCTTCGAGGGAGACGCCTACTTCCGGCAGACCTGGGGAGGCGGCAGCGGGAGTACTCCAGGAGCTGGGTTCGTCTGTGGGACAGGAAGACAGGCGTTAGGAGCCGCGCCGCGCAGCCCTTCCACGCTTCCGCGACCTCTCGCTACGTTAGGGACGAGAGCAGGCGGCCAGGGGCGACTGCTTTCGAGGTCCCAAGCCACCGCCACTCCCACCCTCGCTGCCAAAAGGGCAGCCGGCTGCACCCCCGGGGGGGCGGCGGTTCAGTGTTCACCTCCCGCCCCCAGACTTATTTACCCCACCTCCTTCCCTCATTGATGAATCAGGGTGGGCACTGCTAAGGCCCGACCTAATCCATCCCTTCGCCTTGGCGCCTTCTAACTCCCTGGGGTGTCTTCAGGTCTGACAGTCCTGTGTAGATATCTGGCTTGGCAGCACTTGAATCAGTGGTTCTCAAGCTCGACTACACGTCTGAATCACCTGGGGTGGTTGTGAAAAATACAGATTCCCCGGTGCCCACTTCCAGAGACTTCAGTAGCTTGGGACCCAGGAATTCCCCTGCATTTTTTAACAGGCACCCGGATGATTCTGAGGATGGTCCAAGAACCAAGCTTTGAGAAACACTGGTCTGAGTCCTCTGGAAGAAGTTGGGACAGTGACTTTCAACCATTAGGTGTCACTCAAAGCATAATTAGCTACCACCAGAGACTCAGAATTTGGATTAAGTCATCAAAAAACATTTACTTTGTCTTTTAGAAATCATTGTCCTTAACTCTTTTTAGCAGTTCTGCCATTATAGCAGGGCCAGACTAAGATAAATGATTCTTTCTAGGAAGCCTAGTTTCAACATCTATTTGGGGTTTCAAATCTCCCTACGTTGAGAAAGGATTTGAGACCATTTGCAACAAAACACAAAAGAGAATGATAAAAATGAGCAATGTTGTTTTTTTTTTTTTTAAACTGGTCAGAATCCAAGTAGGAGGACATACGTGTTAGGAATCTGAGATGAGTTAGTTACTACTATGTGCACCAACATTACTCTTTTGAGTTTCTAGCTACTAAATCAAAATTAAAGCAGGAAAATCCAATACAGTCATCCCTTGATATTTGTAAGAAATATGTCCCACGACCTTTGGAAATCCTCAAATTTTGGAATATCTTTCTAGAGTGTAAGTTCTCTTCACAGAATTGGCATGCGGTCATGAGTGGGAACAAAGAAACCACATTGGCATCTGAATGTTGGGTGGCAGGAGAGGCTCCTCACCAGCTAAGAGATTCAGCCCCACACATCAGCCTCAGTGCCTGTGAATCAATTCCTGCCGCTGTAACATTATATGTCGCCGACAATTAGAGGCCCTTATTCAGACTCAGTCTGTGAATGTTTAAAATTTGAAGATTCTTATCTGGTACTTTTGATGCTGATTTATAAAGAGATAAGGAGAGGAAGAAGGTAGTGAGCTGGATAGGTCCGATAATTCTGGGCCACCTGGACAATATCACATCAGTTATAAAAAGTTTCTCCTTTGCTGTGAAATTTGAATGGACTATGTAGGGCACAATGTTCTTCTCTTCCTTCTTTTCATAGATGTATCTATTATCATGTTCACATAGTGAGAAAAAAGTCCTGGAAAAGCATCAGAAGACCTGGAATCTAATCCTGCCTCTGGCGTTCTCCAAGATGTGATTTTGGATCAACTACTTGATATCTCTGAGCCTCATTTTCCCCTTTTATAAGGTGAGGATGAAATGTTTACCTCGTAGAGGTGAGACATGCACTTTCAAAGGGAAAAGCACTTTACAATGGGAGGATTATGATCATTTTTTTAAATTATGTTATGTTCATCACCATACACCACATCATTAGTTTTTGATGTAGTGTTCCATGATTCATTTGTGCATAACACCCAGTGCTCCATGCAGAACGTGCCCTCTTTAATACCCATCACCAGGCTAGCCCATCCTCCCACTGCCCTCCCCTCTAGATCATTTTTTACACACAGTTGAGCCACATTTCTTTTCTGTGTCCCAGGAGCTGCCTACTTACGAACTGGGCCACATTAACTAGCATACTGGTAGGTGACGTTTTGAGTAAGTGCAGTAAATCAGCCATTCCCAAATGCTGTAATTCTCAGGTGTGCTTTTGCTCTACTACTTCGAGGAATATTCAAGGGACACCTGAGTGGCTCAGTTGTTAAGCCTCTGCCTTCAGCTCAGGTCATGATCCCAGGGTCCTGGGATGGAGCCCCGCATCGGGCTCCCTGCTCACCGGGAAGCCTGCTTCTCCCTCTCCCACTCCCCCTGCTTGTGTTCCCTCTCTCGCTGTCTCTCTCTCTGAAATAAATAAATAAATTTTTTTTTTTTTTAAAAGGAATATTTGAAAATCCTCAAATGCAAATGTTTTCGTTGAAAGTTGGAGTATGTTCTGCTTCTGGCTGGGCTAGAATTTGAAAAACTGTTATAGCAAAGTGATGGATCCTGGCAACTCCATCATACAGGAAGATATTGCCTGAAAGAGTTAAAAGTGTTCTTCAGAAGGCCTCACTAGAGGGTAGCTGTGCAATGGTAGTCTCTAACTTGGACCATGGTAATGCTGTTTCACATTTTAATATCTTTTCCCAACACCGTCCCCCTCCCCGCCTCTGCCAATTCCATCATGTATGGCCGAGTCAATTAGCCAGCCTTGAATTACTGTGAGATACAGGGAGGTTGATATTATTCACACCATTTCCTGAAGGAGGAACTGAAGCAGAGAGAGGTTAAGTAATTTGACTAACGTTACAAAGTGGGTCAGCCAAGAATAAAACATTGGGTTTCTTTACTCTCTTTTACATGCTGAGAACATTTTCCTAACATGTTGCCTTGCAAATAGGATCAAAGCGTGTGAAATGGACATGCTCAGTTGGCCCTGCGGTCCAACAGGAACTAGACCCCATCATCACTGAACAGAATGGTTCGCATCTATTTCTGAACATCTTACTCTTGACAGTAAACTAGAAGGTGAAATCATTCGAAGTACAGAGATACAAAAGAATCGCTCTTATTGTAAAAAGATTTCTCAAGTATTTGTTTATAGATCATTAAATTCGTAGTGGGAGAAACTGAAAGCTAAAATGTCCCAAGCCACTACTGACTGAGAGTATTAGTCAGAAGTTAAAATGAACTGGATCTTAAAAGTAACATGATTTAAAGGATGGGCATTTATATAAGTAGTTTAATAGTTTTCATTTTTCTGCGCTCTTTCCTTATTTCCCCATCTTGGTGAGTGGCACAACCGTCACTTGGAGTCATTCTTGATTCCTTTCTCCCCCTCACCTCACAGATACAATCCAACTGCAAGGCTTATTCGTCTTAGCTTCAAGTATATGTGGACTCTGTCAACTGAGGTTTGCCTTCACTTTCACCACCCGAGGTCCAGGGCAGTCCCTAGAAGGATGCAACCAGTGTGGGCTGCCCAAGATAATCACAGTCAAAAGAAGGCCATAGTGTGGACATCTTTCATAAACCCTTGGCAATACTGTTAAAGACAGAGAATTCAAAAAATGAATTTCAGTGTTGTTCAGACTTGAGAAGTTAAAGGTAGGAGATTGTGAACCACACACCCTCCCCTGAGCTCAGAGCTCAGGACAGCTAACCTAGTTACCATACCCAAGGGATGGCCCTGCCAAGCTACTGTTTCTCCCATGGGCTGCTCCAGTAACCCACTCTTCTCTTTACTCCTGGTCTTGCCTACCTCTAATGATTCTCCATACAGCACCCACAACAATCTCTTTGTGACACAAATTAGATCATGCCATTCCTTTCGCTTAAAACTTTCAGGGGATTCTTACTGCTATGAGATTAAAGTCCACAAAAACCTGCATGATCTGGCCCCTGCCAGCCTCCTCAGCTTCATCTCTATTTATTCTCTATTCTCCACCCACACTGGTCTCCGTTCAGTTCCTAAATGCACCGAGCTCATTCTCTATTCTGGGATGTCATTGCTGACTCTTCTGCCCAGAAGTTTCTCTCCCCAACTATTCATATGGTGGGTTCTTTTTTTATTCTTTAGAACTCTTAAATATCACCCCAATCCAAGGTAGGTATTCTGCTCTCCTCCAGAGCATCTTGTTTTTATTTCTTCATAGTACTTATAATCGGTCATTATATATCTGCCTGCTTATTCAGTTGATATCGATTTCAACAACTAGATCGAAAACTTCAGGAGGGCAGTGGCCACAGTGGTCTTGTTTATCACAGTGGGATTTACTGCCTAGCATGGTGTTTGACGCAGTAATAAGTGCTCAGTGAATATCTGATGAATGCATCAATCTGTTCCACAAATAGAAATGGAAGACTTGAAACCAAATGCCTACTTGAGCAAATACTTCAGAACAGCTCTTCATTTAGAGAATAATCAGCAAAGACAGGTTTGTATCTATGACTTCTGTCAGTTTCCAGAGGGAGGACGGTGGTGAAATGCTGGTGAGTATTTGAAGTGGGAGGGGAAATAAATACATTTGGGGCAGGGGTGCAGAGGGAGGGCACCAGCAACCGAAGAGGGCTCTGGGAAGAGGTCTTGGCTTTTATCAGCAGCCCCTGGGGTGGAGAGAGAGAGAGAGAGAGAGAGAGAGAGAAGCTCTGGATGGAAAACAGGCAGTTAAGTTCCTCTGACTTTTAACAGATGTTCTTTCCCTTGTTAATCTTCTCAGCCATGATGATGTAATGACTTTGCTTAAAGGAGCTTCATCTCTGGGGACTCATTAGTCAATGTGCCAGTGAATATTCAGATGAACCACAGGCAAGACAGACCCTAAATATCTCACCCTTTGTTGGGGGGAGAAGCAGGTCCCTGTCCTAAGTTAGGATCAGGTTTCTTCCCCTTCTTGTTGATTCTAGCCAGTTTGGATCTATCCTAGATCCTAGGATTCTATCCTAGAAAATAGGCTGGTTAATACATAATATATATGAATAGTATATATGTACAGAAATCACACACACAAATATACTATTATCTTTGAGTTAAAAGATGTATGACCTCTTGAATTATCTTGTAGGAGCTCAGCAATATTGAAACATAAAATGTAGTCTTCCGCTATGT